ACGAGGAGGCCAAAGACAGGGGCAGGAACAGGGAGAGGGGAGGGTGTGTGTGTGGTGGGGGGGTTTGCCGGGATATTAGTACTGATTTCATTTGTTGAGATGGGCGGTGTAAAGTCTATACATATGCTTCCTGGAAAAACAAACCAAAAATGAGTGGGAGGGCCCACCGCCTTAAAAACAGACATTTGAACCATAATTTTTTGAACCCTAAATCCAGCATAACTTCATTTGACTTCTCAGTAATCTTAATGCTAGATGCAATAAAAAGTTATAAATATAAAAACAAATTAACTAACAAAATCACCACCCCAAGAGATTCCTTACCTCGAACCTGAGTATTGGGCTGAGTGACTTAAAAAAAAGGGAAAAAATACTGAAGCAGACTTTGAGTCTTTTGTGACATACAAGTTCATTTCAAACATACAAAAGAAAAAAAAATTTCAATTCCAGTAACACGAACATGATGGCTAGGGATCGTGTCAAGGGTAAACGTGGGGACGGAGCTCAGCCTATCAATTGTGTTGCAGCCGGATGACATCTTGTTGTCAGCACCCTTTTTGTCTAAGAGGGAGAGCGGGAGCAGAGTCAAATCCTCTTTGGCCCTTCACGTTCTGCCAGAGAGGATGGATCTGGTGCCTGGATCTCCGGTTGTATTGCCTGCCTTCCCAAGAGCCACCAGCCACATGACAGACTGTGGCTTCCTTCAACCTCTGCATCCACCAGCCTGGGCCCCTGCTGTTTCTTCTGCTTCCTGTTCATCAGCTTCCACGCATCAGGAGAAGCTCGGCTTGAAGGTAATGTATTACTTACATTATACGGACGTAACTGGACGTAACGTATTTTTACAGAGGTGTAAGCCAGTTCTTTATTTCAGCCTGTGTTAGTCCGGGTAGACTAGAGAAACAAATCCATAGAAACTCATATGTGTATAAGAGAGAGTTTTATGTAGAAGGCAATTGCACATTAAGAAAGCATCCCAACCCAGTCTAGTCTAAGTCTAAGCCCATAAGTCCCATATTAGCCCATATGTCCGATACCAATCTATAAAGCCCTCTTCAGACTCACAAAACACATGCAATGATGGCGAATGCAGGACGATCACAGGCCAGTGGGTAGAAAGTCTTTGGGTCCAGTGGCGTTGTAAGCATCTCAGCACTGGCAGGAGTCTCTATGTGGCTTCTCCGACTTCATAGATCTGGTTGCATCAGGGTAGGTCCACGTGGCTTCTCCAGCTCAGGGCACTAGTGAAGTTTCATGTGTCTTGTCAGCTGCAATGTCTCATGTCTCCCAGGAATGAGCAGAGAGAGAGAGAGAGAAAGAGAGAGAGAGAGAGAAGTCTTCTGTCTCCAAGGAGGAAACACCAGAGTTCCCAGAATTCTCCAGAGAAAGCCATGCCCACAGAGAGGCCTCATTGACTAGATCCGACTGACAGACTAGACTCCAGCCCTTCACTCGTAATTCCCTCAAGTCCCAAATTGACACCAGATTATGTAACTACCACACAACCTCTTTTTTGTATACAACACACATGTGGTTGTTACATACTCTGGTGTCAATTTGAGACTTATGAAGGGGTGGAGTTTAGTCTGTCAATCAGGTCATACTGGATGGCCTCACTTGGAGGCGAGAAGGAGATAAATAGCTCATTGGAGGCAGGACACATGAGCTCAATCCCTGCCAGACGTTCTTGTTGACAAGCCACATGGAGACAGGCTGATGGCAGCCAGAGCCTCAGAGCTGGAGAAGCCACGTGGAGGCCCCTGCCAGCACTGCGAAGCTCACACCGCCACTGGATCCACAAGACTTTCCACCTACTGGCCTGTGATCATCCTGCATTCGGCATCATTGCATGTGTTTCATGAGTCTGAAGAGGACTTTATAGATTGGTATTGGACCTATGGGCTAATATTGGGCCTATGGACTTGATCTGGACTGGGCTGGGACGTTTTCTCAATATTCAATTGCTTTGGTAGATAAACCTCTTTCCTGTACACATATGAGTGTCTACGAATTTGTTTCTCTAGTCTACCCCGACTCACACAACATACAAGTGTGACTGGTTTTGCTTCTCCAGGGAACCCACCAGAACACACTTCACCGTTTGTACCAACCACCTGAATTCTTCCAGCTCCTGGAGGAATTAAAAAATAGATCAATAATAAGGCAGCCTTGTCTCTCCTTTTTCAAATCCTTCACCTCATTGTGGACAACACCACTGCTCGGAACAGAGTTGAGTCCGACTTGGAGCGAGTCTTCAATAGGGTTTCTGAGACAGGGGTACACAGCCTCCTCTTTGTCCCAGGGAGCTGGCGGTGGGGCCACAACCAACTTCAAAGTTGGCAACCCAATGCCTGACGCTCAGTGCCACCAGGGTTCCTTCTAGGGCCCACAAAGCCCTCCCAAATCCTCTCCATTTCTTCCTTCACCTTCACCCTCTACCCTGTCTCTCTTCACCTCAGCCAAACCAGCCTATTCGTGCCACAGGACCTTTGCCCTTGTGTCCTTGAAACTTCTCTTGGCATTCTCTCTCTCTCTCTCACTGTCACTTTCTCTCTCTCCCTCTCTCTTGTTCAGGCCTCCGCTCCAACGCTGTGGTCATCTCAGGGAGGCCCTCCGGAACCCTCCCCATTTGACATGAGTAGTCCCTCCCCTCCAACCCTCCCCCCAGCCCACCCCAGGAATTCTGAACCTTTTCTGGGCCATAAATCCATTCGCCTCAATGATTCACCAAAGTTATCAACATATTAAAAAAAAAAATCATGATACAGTGAAAGATGAGAGCTTCCACAAGTTCACGGGCAAATAGCCCGAAAGGATCTTGGAACGTTTCCCATCGATGTTGGGATCCCTGCTGGTCTCTACTTGTTGGCACCTTGCATAAATATACAATAGATCAGCGGTTCTCAACCTGTGGGTCAAGACACCTTTGGGGGGGTTGAACGACCCTGTCACAGGGGTCACCTAAGACCATCTGAGAACACATCTTTCCCATGGCCTTAGGAACCGAGACACGCTCCTCTATCCATTTCCAGGCAAGTCCGCCCACATGCAGATACGCCCACCTACCAGTACCCGGGCG